CGCCTTCGCTCTCGAGGGGAGGCCGATCAGCCTCGTCGGGTTGGACGGGCCAAGACACGATGCGAGCATTCCTACTCTCGCGGGCGGGCGAGCTGCTGGGCGAGCGCGCATTCTTGCCCGCGCAAACTGGACTGCGAGCCCTCAGTCGCGGCCTTGCCAGGCCTGAGCACCATGGGAAACCTGGGAAGCAACTCGAGGATTCAGGCGATGGGCTGACGCGCGCTGCCTGCAAGCTCCACGGACATACCCGCGCGGGGCCTCCAGGGCACGCCGCGCGCGGCCGAGGCCCGGCGCGCGTAGGACCGCGCGGAAGCGCCCATTCGAATCAAGATGGGAGGCCTGCTGATCTCCGCCAGGGGCGCATGTAAACTCGGCATTCGAAACGATGGCGACGCCTCCCACCTGATCTAGGAACCCTGCGCGAGAGAGGGCCACAGGGCTGAAGTTCCAGTCCGCCGCGGCAATCCAAGGGGGGCGATGGGGGCGAAGGAGAGCGGCAACGTTGCGGCATCTCACAACGCCCTGATCGCGAAAACCGATGGAAGAGTGACCGCAGAATGTGACCACACTGGGAAGGTATCCTTTTAGCTCTACCTGCACAGGAACAAAGCCGTCGAAACTGTTGCCTCCAACTGCTAAAGCACATGGCTGCGCGGGAGCTATCCAAGAGCTGAGCAAGCATGTGACGGGCTGTCAGGAAAAACTCGCCACCTTCGTTCGCTGTCTTCTCGTGAAACTGACGCTGCGCGGGCCTTGGGAGGGCTGCGATGGCAAAGAGCTTCAACTCGAGCTCGCGTGCCTTGGCCCTCCACCGGGGCATGGAACTCTGCGAAATATGTGCCCCGCAGAATGATGTGTAGTCGAAATTCTCCTTGATCGACGCAACGCCCCCGCCCGCCTCGTCACCGATGGATGTAATACGAGAGGAACATGATACTGGAATCAAAAGAGCGAAATGCCACTGGACTCGCTGGCACCTGAATCCGAAAAGGTGGTACTACTCGGCGTGCTGTGGCCAGGTTTGGCAGTCGGCGCCCCCTGCTGTGACTGCGCTGCCACTAGTCACTCCTGCTAGGCCTCAGCGGCTCGGCCTGCGGCCGCAGCGCCGGCGGGTGGGGCTGCTGGCGCACGCCCTTTGCCGCTGGCGGGGGCCCCGCCTTCGCCGCTGGCGGCCTTTTCCGTCGCCTCCGCCGCCATGAGCTTGGCCTGCGACAGCTCGGCGGCCTCGGTGCGGAGGATCTCTTCCTGCTTGACCTGATTCTTCCGCCCGCGGAGTCGGACTGCGTGGGGGCCTCTGCGCTGGCATGCTCGTTGGCTGTCTCCTCGGCGGCGGGCGCAGGCGCCGCTGGTGCGCCTCCTGGGCTCGTGGAAATCCTGTTTCATCTGCTTGAACATCTCGGCGAACTGCTCGAAGGTGTCCTAGTACTACCCTTGCTCCGCTATGAGGTTGCGGATGGACCGCTTGGCGCTATCACCGCAATCCCAGCTCTCGAAGTCATGGAACATCTCGGAGTTGATGAAGATTCTTGTCCTATGAATATGATGGCTTGGGGTCGGCGGCGCTAGTGCCGTCGGCCTGTGCGAGAAGGGCGGTGGCCTGCCTCGTCTCGGCGTCGGCTTTAGCCAGGTCACGCGCGGCCTCCATCTCTTCCTGCCCTGCGAACGCCAATTGCTTCCTCAAGTGGGTCACCTGCTCGACTAGCTGGTTGTGTCTGTTTTGCGCGGCCTGTCACTGGCCGTCTGCCTTTTTGACGTCGTCCACGGCTGAACTCTTGCTGTTCTGCTGCGGAGATGAGGCGTCCCCTTCTGTGACTGCAAGATCATGTTGAGCTCGGCGTCCGCGGTGCTGTCGATGGCCTGCTGGATCAGGTCTGCGGTCGCGTCGGGGTTGCTGGGGCCTCGACGGGAGTGCGATATGGGACGCGACGGCGCCGCCTCCTCGAAATGTGCACGCTGGTTCGCGCGAGCGAAATCGGGGACGGTAGAGACGGATCTGATGCGAAGAGCGGCTGCACCGACTGCCTTGCTATGCCAGGATGTCGTTGTACTCGCGCGGCGCCCTGTAAGGGGCGCACAGGCTCCGCGGGCGGCGCTGCTGCTGGTGAGCGAGAACCCTCAGTGTGGAAGAAAACGATACGGCAGGTTCGTGTCGTGTCGACCCCGGCGTTGGTTTTTGACACCGCAGGGATCGTTCAACCTTGAACGATCGGCCGCTGCCGCAACGTCCGATCGTTCAACATCGATCGATTCTGGGTCGCCGGCGGCGTTCAACCTTGAACGCCCGCGCTGGGGTCGCCGCTGGTCGACACGACGCAAACCTACCGTACGCTTTCGCTGTGCAAGCGGTGCGTGGGTGGAACGCTGCCTGCCAACTCCTCGAGCGCCCCTGGAAGGCACGGGCAACGGGCGCCAAAAGGGAACCCGAATGGCGGCCTGATGGGGAGGAGGACGAGGAGGAGGAGGAGGAGGAGGAGGAGGAGGAGGAGGAGGAGGAGGAGGAGGAGAGGAGGATGAGGAGGAGGAGGAGGAGGAGGAGGAGGAGGAGGAGGAGGAGGAGGAGAAGGCCGCGGCAGCCTTGAGGAGGCCGCTTGATGGGGAGGAGGAGGACAAGGAGGAGGAGGAGGAAGGGGAGAAGAGGGATGGAGGGATGGAGGGATGGAGGGAGGATTTGTGGGACGGGGGGGTCCTCCAGGCCGCTCGAGCATGGACAGCGGCTGAAATCGGCAGAGCCGGCGGACGCGGCATGGAAGGATGAGAGCGAAGGGCAAGGGAAGGGGGATAGAAGGAGGAAAGCGGGGAAACTGGAAATCCCACCAGCCCTGCAGGGCGTGAGTGGTTTCGAGCGCGTCCTCTTCCAACTCCACTTTTCCCTTTCGGGGAGGGATCTAATCATTATTCCCGATCAGGAAGACGCCCCCTCCCCCAGGCGACCTGCAGCCAACCAGGACCAATAATGGCGCCCCCCCCCGGAATCCCTTTCAAGAAACAATGTGAAATCCACTTTGGAACAAAATCTTCGGTCATGATCTGGGAGCCGCGAGCACATTGTATGGTTTTTGACATGGGCGCCGGGGATACCCGCGCATTGCCTGCTGCGCGCAGCGCCAGCATTCCGGTCCGACAACAATGCAACATACACTTTGAAACAAAAACTGGGTCATGCGCGGGAGCCTCGCGATCACTGTGCATCGGCCTTTGACTGGGGCGGCGCGGGTGCTGGCATCTTGCCTGCTATGTGCAGGCCCACCATGCGCTGTGATAGCCACCCCGCCGCGATTGCACACTGGTTTTCGACAAGGGTGATGGGTGCCGACGCGGTCCACGATGTGTGCTTCCACGTGCGCAGGCTCAACTGGAACACTCTGCGTGTGCCCCGAAAGTTGCGCACCTGGCGCGGCTGGAGCAGACGGCACACTTGTCGCACGTGGATCACGTGGCGCATCTGGCGCACCAGGTGTGCACAGCACCCGTGTGCCTGGCGCACCTGGCGCGCGTGGCGCGCCTGGCACGCCTGACGCACCCTCGCCCCAGTGTTGCATGCATGGGGTCTGTTTGGACAATCATTAGCTGCCCATCCAAAGACTATCGCTGAACACGCTGCGGCTCGGGTGTTACTTATGTGTTGGGAGGGCGGGTGGGAGTGAGCGAAACGGCTTGCTGGCGGGGGTGGGGTCTTCACCCCTCCCCCTACCCCCTCACCCTGGACCCAGGCGGGACGCTTCGCGGGGGTAGTTGGAGCGTTTAAGACGGCCTCGGCGAGAAGGCCAACCTCATTGATTCTACCGAAAGATATTGGCCACGCCTTGGCCTGGCAACGCCAAATGACCACAACTGCTCATACTCCAAATTTTCGAATCATTCCCCGCGGCCGTCTTCTCATCCTGAATCTTTACTGACGGCTCCGAGGCCTGGCATGGGCTCGCAGAAGCCGAAGAGGAGGAAGAACCTCCCGTCGTGACCTCGTCGTGATTGTTCCACATGGAACTTCTTTGATCGAGCGCCTCCAAGATGGCCCACACATGGCCTCCGAGGCTCCCAAGAGTGCCCCAAGTTGGTCCCACGAGGCGCCCAGGAAGCCGCGAGCGACACCACCAAGAGGTCCCCAAGGGGCCTTTTTGGGGCTCCCCCAAAGGCCCGATGGACTCCGCCAGGAGCCTCCCGCGCCGCTGCTCACGCGCCCGCGGCGAGCCGGGCGGCCCTCAAGAGGCCCCCAAGAGGCCCCCCCGAGGCACCCAAGACGCTCCAATTGGGCCCCGCGACCGCCAAGAGGCGCCAAGACGTACCAAGAGGCCTCCCAAAAGCTATGAAGAGACTTTCAAAAAAGATTCCGAGAGGCATGCAAGAGGCATCTGGCCATTCTCCTCCTCCTCTTCCTCCTTCTCCTCCACCTCCTCATCCACCTGTTCCTCCTCCTTCCTCTTCCCTCATCCCTCCTCCCCCTCCCCCTCCTTCCCCTCCGAATCCTCCTCCATCCTCACCCTCTTGGGATACGACGGCTTCCCCAGCCCCTTCTTCCGCTGCATGCTCCTCCACATCCCTGACCCGGGCAGCTCGCCTGGGCATCGCTTCTGGATGGGCTGGTAAGGCTACGCGAAGTGTCTAGAACTACGAGGGACGGGGAGAAGGAGGGATGAAGGAGGGCGAGGCGACTGCTTGGAGCCAGAGCAACCCCAAAAAGAAAGAAGTCCTCCGCTGCCCGCACGAAGCTCCATCCCCCCCTCCGACAAGTGCAACCCTGCCCATCCCGGCTCTCTCCCACCTCCCACCGCATGAAGTATCCGTTTCCTTCTCCCCCTGGTCCCTTCTCGCCCCTGAGGGGAGGGAAGGGGTGGCAGTAGGGGGAGGGGGGAAGGCTTCTTCGAAGGAGGCCGCTTCTTGGAAGGCCCCGGCCCGACATCTGTGGACAGGGCCCGCGCCCTCCTAGAAGCAAGGGTGCGTCTGATGAGCCTCCCCCCCTCCCCCTGCCCCCCTCTGCGCGAGGCCGAGGAAGGGGGCCTGGC